ATTCTTTGTAATCAAGTCTTATACTGAAGATGATGTTCATAAATCATTAAAGGTTTGTTCATTTATATCTTTATATATATATATATATATATACATATGTATGTATTTTGTTTGTTAAATATTTAGGAAATTTTTTTTATCTAAATATATTATGAATTTTATATGGTTATAGTATGACATTTGGGCTAGTACAGAAATCGGTAATCGTCGTTTGGACAAAGCATTTCGTGATAATGCCGATAAAGGACCAATTTATTTGTTCTTTAGCGTTAATGCTAGGTGAATAATTATAAAAAAAGAAATGATTGTAAATATATTTTTAAAAAAAAAAAAAGTTTATAATTATTTACATAAATTTTTTTTATCATTTAAAAATTTAATTCTTAGTGGACATTTCTGTGGTATGGCAGAAATGCTTACACCAGTAGATTATACAACAAGCAGTAACGTTTGGCAACAAGATAAATGGAAGGGAGTGTTTAAAGTTAAATGGATTTTTGTTAAAGATATTCCCAATGGACAACTTAGACATATTAGAATAGTGTATGTATCGCTAATATTTAATAATTATTTAATAATTATATAATAATTATAAAAATTTAATGCACAACTATTTTAATTTTCATGTCATGGGGTATATCACAGGAACAACGAAAATAAACCAGTCACAAATAGTCGTGACACGCAGGAATTATTTCCTGAACCAGGTCGCGAAATGTTGAAAATATTTTTCGAATATCGTAGCAAAACTTCAATACTTGATGATTTTGAATTTTATGATAAACGTCAATTGGAAATGCGAAAAGAAGGGGGGACAGCATCAGTGGGTAGTGAAAATACAAATGGAAATGGCTGGTCTCATTCGGCTAATGGTTCGCTAAAACAAAGCTGAGCTAATTTTGATTTTTTAGCCGAACCAATTTTCACATAGCCGATCAAAGAGCCGATTAAGAGCCGAGCTAAGCTGCGGCTATAAGTTTTATCGTTATCATTTTCGTTATAAGAAATATATTTTTTTCAATAGCATTAGCGATAGCGTTAATACAAATATTTATGTAATTAATAATTTGCGAATGTTTTAGAAACATAAAATCAGAACACTTTTTTTTTTAAAAAAAATAAAAAAAAAAACCAAAAAAAAAAATAAGTACATTTTTTTAAAACAATAAATAATGGTTTTTTTTTTTGTTTTTTTTAATAACAATTTTTTTTTAAATCTTTAAAAAGAGACTAGTTTTTTTTTTTAAAAAATTTTAATTATACATAACAGATAAGACATTTTTAAGAGCTTGTATACTTTTTTTTCAAAAAGACATGTACACTTGATCCGAAGTAGCTCGGATTGCGAGCCATTCGGAACATACTTAGGAAAAAAGCAAAATTAATAATTTTCCGGCACAAAAAACTTAATCTTAAATGTTTGAATTTTGTACGTATAGTCCATTGTATAAAAACTAATCCGTTAAAGTTTTTGAATAATTTTTTCTACATATATTTTAAATCCCTCAGATAAATGTTTTTTCTAAATCTAAATCTTCAGATAAATTGGTTTTGATATAAAAATGTTGTAATCAAATGTTATCATAATCGTCTTGTTGTGTAAGTATGTTATAAACAAGATCGAGATTACTGCATTGGTATAAACTCTGACAGCATTAAAATAAGTGTTTCCATCTAAGTTGGAACGTCATGCCGTTTATATCCAGATGATTTATCTTGAGTAATAATGACTGAATGTGGTTCCAATTGACGTTTTCATTTGCTTGGATTTGAATAAGAAACATGTGTAAAGATAATGACGCGTATAAAATGAAAGCTTTGTAGAGTCACATTAGTTTCACTATCCATCGTCGTACACAAAATATTGTCGTAGTGATGGTTTGAAAGTTTTAGAATATCATAATAATTATCGTCAATCCAATGCATGGTAATTGTCAGATCTTGAGTAAATGCCAAATCTTGTACAAATGTTATTTTAGGCCTAGATAATTTGTATTGAGGTGAGATTTATATGTTGTATAATTAAAAATAGATTGATTAAAAAAGATGAATCGAAAAATTAGAAAATAGAGAAAGGTTATTAAGATCCATTTGAATTATTATGAGAATAAAAAAATAATTTGTATTTATTGTATTTATTATATAATGGTCTTTACAATTTTACGACATATCGATATATTATAGTTTATTATAGTTTATTATAGTTTAAGATAGTTTATTATAGTTTATTATAGTCTATTATATAGTTATTGTAGTCTATGTTAATGATTGGCTTACACAAGCCGAGCCGTTAAACTGCCATTATATCTGTTTTCATAAATCTTAATAGTGATACAGTCTGAACGCAACCCCCCAAATGCAATATCTCTCTAAATGCAGAAATGACTTCCATAAATGCAAATTTTCTTATTATTCACTAATTGCAGTTAGAGAAGTCAGATTGTAGATAACAAAAAATTTTCTAATAATTGAATCGATAAGTTACAAACATGAATCGAGATGTAATTAGCCGAGATGTTAATTAGCTCGGCTAAGCTGATCGGCTTACGACTTTGACCTACGCTAATATGGTATATACCTAATTCCAAATACGAATATTGATATTACTTTAAATATCGTTAAATTTGAACGACAATCAAAATGAGGAGCAGGAAATTCGCATTAATAAAATTGATCTGTTTAAGATGAACTACGTATATTTTGTTGTTTGTGAACTTTTTTTTCATAACAGATTACAAGGATGATGGACGATCTTCGACATATAGTACCGGACAGCAAGAAATATCCACTTTTGATATATAAAAATAAAAATGCTTATAACTTACAAACAAATGAA